CTGGCACCATGATGATCACTAGGCCCTGCTCCTGGAGAGGATCGTGTCACCACGCCACGCGGTGATGCAGGGTCATGGATCAACTGCAGCATTGGGGTGGGTGAGTGTGGTGGTGGAGTCAGAGGCTCCTCACAGCTTCGCAGGGGGCGTAGGACTTTGGCTTGGACTGTGTCATCATCACCATCATCCATTTTTCGCTTCTGCAAAGCAAGCAGCAGCCAGTTACTGAACCACAAGTGAGTGTTGTAGGCTTCAATGTGATGTGACAGAATGGGTTAGGAAGCCAAATGAGCCTGCATGGGTTGGAACTGCAATGCCTACTCAACTTAAATCCAAGGGTAGCTAAACTTCTCTCATTGTTCCAATCACAACAGCTGGTATCAGCCTAGAAATCCCCCTAATACTAAAGGGAATTAAGAGTTGCAGAGACTGCATTAATTTACCTGAGGGTGGGGTCTTTTAACTGATCCCTCCTCAAGATCCACACAGTGGCCAGTATGGACCATACAAGCCATTTGTTCAAATGCCTGCCCCTCATTAACACCCTCTCGAACAGTCTGCAGTGTTAGTGCTCAGCAGGAGACCAACAGTATTTGCCAGCGTACGGTGGGTGGCACGTTAGCATATAAAACCCTGAGCAGTATGCATTTTATCTACCTTGCCCTTTTCCTCATGAGCCTGCCCACCCACTATAATCAGCATCCCTGTGTTGAATCCTAGTTCCAGAAACGGAGAGTGCAAAGTAAGAGCCAACAGTGGGAAGGGGGAAGTGGGGGAATTCACGGAAAGCAGGTCAAGAGTTTTAAAACGGTGCCAGGATGATCCCAGTGATGATAACCTTCTCCTCTGCCAAATCTTCTAAAGTAATGCAAACAGTGAAAGAGGCAGACATGCTGCGATTCCGACTTCATTTTTTTCTAGCTAGAAGTATCAGCTCTCCTGGTTTGGTCACTTTTTCTAGACACGATTACTATTTTCACTACATCTCTGGTGAAGGTATACTTACACCTTGGCAACACAGGAATTACACCTGTTGCAGTCAAAAGGAGAGTCACAGATTGGACCACTGCTGCAGGCCACTTTCTTCCAATTACACTGACTGCATGACAACACTCCCCTGCTACTTCATGTTCCAGAAAGCTACAACAGTGGATAATCAACATATTTTCCAACAGGGGAGATCCAAGCAAAGTTACTCTTCCACTCAGCTAGCTCTAGCAGCTACATCTGTCATTCTTCTCAAGCTGCTGCTTCTTATAAAGGTCAGCCTTTTTAAAAAAGTAAAAGCTACACAAAATGCAGCCGCACACCAAACAATGATTTGGATGCAACAGAGTGTTTCCTTAGGTAGAAGAATTTCCAATTATGAGTTGTGATTTTCTTGCCTGCACCTCCAGCTGCAGCAGCAAAGGCTAATCCCTCCTGTCTAAGAAATGCTCTATGGGATACACTCCAATCTATTGAGCATCAGAGTCTACAGATGAAATGCAAAATACATCCATGTTACAGTAATGCTACATTTCTGATAATGTAGTATGTAGCCAAATGTCTAGATTAGAGACAACAGGTCTGTGGGATCATACATAGACATATGCATTATTATGAAAGCCTTGACCTGAAGTTCTTGGGGAACCATGTTCTGAAGTCTGCTCTCTGGGCTGACTCCAGTGATCTGTGCTTACAAGGACTGTGAGTCTTTCCCCCCCCCCCCCCGCCCCAGCAGTCCTTTCTGAACCGAAGACAAGACCTTAAAACATCAGGAAAATCCTTATCCTAGCAAGAGCTTAGGTACAGGTAAGATGAGTGTTTAGCTCTGTGCATTTCAAGCCGCAACAGTCTGTTCCCTGCATGACCCAAAAACAGTGCATACAAATGCTTTTGTAAAGTAAAAAAGGAAAACCTTCATCTGCTGTTTGAAACAGTCTTACCTGGGCTTTCTCCAACTCATCTCCCTTGTAGCACTTTGGACACTCCCAGCAGTTGGGCAATTCATCATTCAATATCCCTTCCCCATCCATCTGTACAGAAAAGACAGTCACTTTCAGCAAGACATTTATTCCTGATGCTCCAGTATAAAATGAACCAAGCACTTGCCCCCAAGTTCAGAGCGTACCCGTAGACAGCCAGGGTGAACAATTTCATTGCAGATGCAGCATTCCATTAACTTCTTCTCAAAGTCCTGTGAATCCTCATTCTTATCTACCTCCCCACAAAGTGCACATGTGACAGAGTGAGGCAGTCGGGGCTACAAAGTAAACAATGAAACAGGAAGTCACATCACAGAACTTTCCCCCAAAACTTCCAGAGTAACTTTTTTGTTGTTGTTGCTTTGCTGTGTGTGTTCCACACAGAAGGATTCCAGTGTTAACCCTAGCCATCAGATTCGGAATCTCAGCCTCATTTGTTCCTACTACTTTTGAGAAGCACAGCAGGCCATCCTTGCCCCCCAAAACAGACTGAAATCAAGTCTTCCAGACACACACGTCGTTTCCCCACTAATGCCACATTACTCACCGCCAAGCACTGTCGCAATACACAGGACTGCTTCATACGACCAGGCCCACCAAACTTCTTCATATCCCTGCAGTAGTGGCACATGCCACATTCACCCTGCAGGCAGGCCTTGCATTTACGACATCGCACCCGCCTTCTGCGAGCACCAGACACTATAGGAGAGACTGTGGGCCTCACAGTCGCAGGCCGTGGCGCTGGTTTCATGGTGTGGGGCTTGGTGATGGGGATGGTAGGTAATCTTAACTTTGGCCGAACCTGAAGTTTGAGCTGTCAGTGAAAAAGTAAGATAGGGAGAAGTTAGGTGGCATGGCTCATATGTCTATCACACTGGAGGAAGCAAGTGTCTATCTCAAGAGGTTTTGGATGGCAATATGTGTGAATCTCAGGGACTGGAAACTGAGGACATGGTACATGGAATCTCAGAGGACTTTGCTCCCAGTTACAGAGAACTCTGAAAACACTTATATTTATCATTAACTAATTCTGATTTTTGCAAAGACTGTTCCTAAAAATTGAGGCTATGATTATGATCTTTCTGGTTTCTTTATCCTGAATTTCCAATACTTTTAATTTTCATACCTGCAGCTTGCATAAACACCCACTTCTCCTTTAAAAATACAAAGAATGGTGCAGAGTCCTTTTCTCAACTTTTCATCTTAAACTAGGAGGCTATACCTTCCAACTGCCAAAGTTCTGCACACCAAGTCTCTCACTGTCTGAGCCAAGCCACAGACCCATCATTTACCTTATCCCTCTTTGGCCACTGGACAATAGGGATGCCAGTAAGTGCCAGCTTGGGGTCACTGCTTGCGTATTCCTCCAGCAACAGCTACAACAGAGACAAGACAATAAAAATCTCAGTATTTTTTCAAATAGTTTACATGTTCAGAGTTCTTCATTACAGTTTCCTGGTAATCTTTAAGAACTCTGTAAGATAGAACATTGTTGTTCTTGTCCCCATGCTGCTTACGAGGGGCTGAAGCAAGATTTGAACCACAGACTGCTTTCTTCATAGTTTACACATTATTACACTAGCTGGGGGAAGGGGGAATCACATAAATATCTTCATTCCAGGCTGTGTGGTCCTTTCCACACTGCTGCAGTGCCCTCTGTATCAGATACAGCTAGATTCTGTTTTACCCAGACAGCAAGCAGGAGCCAAAGGCAGCCTTTTCAGTCATACTGTTTTAGGTTGTTTCTCTTTCACAAAGGAAGCTACGTAACCTCCAAGCCATGTGGCTGGGCATTAGCAACAAGTGGTTGTAATTGCCATGGATTTGGAATCCCTTCCTTTAACCATACTTCCCAATGCATCTGCTGTCCACCCCACCCACCCTGGACTTCCATTTCAGATCTGCTTTATTTACTTGAGGTTACTATGGCTACATTTTCAGGAGCCTCCCGCTGGCATCCCCATGTGCAGGAAGTGCAGTGTTTCTTGCTGCCAAGAGGGAAAGAACACTGCATTGGCTGGGCTAATTCTCCATTGCACTTACCAATGCAAGGGGATTCATATTCCCATAGGAGGCCTATCCTGGGAAACTGCTTCCCAGCAGGGTGGATTACTTTAAATCATCTTGGGCATATGTGTGTTGAAATCAATGATTTAACAAACTTCTAACATTCTAATTTACATTTCCCTGACAAATATATTAATTGATGCTACAGCAATTGAATATATATCTGATTCGCAAACAATTACAGCTTTTCTATTATGCAAGAGCATATTTCAAGACCTGCAGCCTCTCTGGTGCTACAGAAACTATATCTGTTTGGGAAAGCAACTGTGAGATTAAGGTTTTCTGCTTGATGCTTTACACGTTTAAACACTAAGCAGAAATAATATACTTATATTTTTGCCCCGTTTGTTCTTTTATGTACAATAGAAAGCTCTCAATACGTTTGAAAGAGGATCATGGACCCACTTTAAAGGTATCTTGAGAGCAGCGTTTAATGTGTTTGTTTTACTTTAACTCGTTTTAAACAAAGATTTTAAGGGACAAGATATAACTGGAACTTAAAACCAAATCAATCCAATCTTCTTCTTCTAAAACCAACGTATCCCCTGCCATTCTCCTGTGCAGCTGCTCCTCCACCCTTCCAGAGAACCCTGTGGGTGGAAGGAAGTGGCTGCCTTGGCTAGCCCAGCAGGACGTGCCCACGTCTCCAAGCCCCACCCTCTCCCACACAGCTAGCTTAGAGCTGAGAAAAGGTCGGCATTTGAGGGCATGAAGGCACATGCCTCGCAGGGCAGAAGGGGAAGCCCGCTCGCCATCAGCCCGGAGCACTAATCGGGGGCGGCTGCTCGGGCACGCAAGCGCCGGGAAGGAAACACCCCGCTCCGCCGCCCCCCGCAAAGGTTTCAGAACAGCGGCCCCAAGGAAGAAGTGCCCCCCCCCGCCGATGTGAACAATC